TTTATGAGGGGTACTCAGCGTTTTTTATGAGGGGTACTCAGCGAAAATTATAGAAGGGGTACACATATGTCAAAAGTTTGGGAAACACTGTGTTAGAAGGTGTCAGCTCCAGAGTTTTTGGAGCTCTGCAAATTAATTGAACAGAACGGGCAGAAAGCATGGCGTTCTTTGATTTTATTATTATAATTATCCTTTATTCAGTACTCTTATCTCAAACAGAACTATGAACAATCTATCTCTAGTAGAACTATAAACAAATGAAGTTTAAAAACAAAGTGTAGACATAACACTTTTTTTTACAAGAGCAGTAAAAGAGTACAATTTGACAAAAGCAGTATTATAACTTTCTATTTAATACCACTCCAGGAAAATGTTAACATACCTTTGGTTTCCCTGTTGATCCACTGGTGTAGAGAATAAACAATTCATCTTCTGCATCACACCAGACAGGCTCACACTCCTTGCTGGCATTTTTCATGATGTCATGCCACCAAAGATCAACTTCTGGATCCCAAGGAGTCTGAAGGAAACCACACACCATAATACTTAAATGCAGTCTAACCAGGAAAAAAATGCACTCTTGCATTTTTGAATGAAAAATTATTCCACAGTAGCTGAGAAGTCCTGTTTTACTATTTCTAACCCTTATTATTTGCTACAAACCTTCATAACACAATAACACTTGCTTAAACCTGTGGACAATTTTATTTCCTACTTGAATTTAACATATTTCCTATAGCTACTGAGAGACTCTTTAATACTACATTTGTTTTTCTTGAAAATAATGGTTTTTTCCCCCAAATGTAAGGGAAGCTACTAGCTTTATTATTAAAATTAATGTATTACTGGAATCAGAACATAAGATATTGATAAAAGAGAAAGACATATACTACTCTAGAAGCCACTATTTCTCAAAACATGCTTTGCAAGCTCTGTACCCATCATATTAATCCAGTGAGGTGAGCCAGTATTTTTAAAATGTGGGTGTATAAATGTAGAATGGGGCTGACATACAAATCTGTTTAAGATTAAAGAGTTAGCATTGGAAGTAAAAATGTAATATTATATTGATATTCCTCATTGGACTTGTCATTTGTCTTTAGTGAACATAATGGAATTAAGATATACTAGAAAAATCAGATAGCCAGGGATTACCACACTGTACCAAAAATCCAGACATCCACTAGGTGGCATCTTTCTTGTCATCTTGTGAGCATCCAAACATTTTGATGCACACTACTCACAAGTGGTTTCACTACAATCATTATAACATTATAATAATCCAGAGGTTCCTGCCAGTTCCAACCTCTTAGAAAAAGTTCCACAAATCTACAGTGTCGTTTAGAACNCGCGCACCTTAGAGAGAACAGTGCTCCCCAGCCCCCAAGAGCTCTCTGAAAGCTTCCATAAGGCTATGCACAGCCATTTTGGTGAAGGGGCGGGGCTTCGGGAGGCAAAAAATGCTGTATTCGGTGTATAAGCAGCACCCAGAATTTCAGCCTCTTTTTAGAGGAAAAAAGGTGCGTCTTATACTCTGAAAAATACGGTAATTCCAATGTCTTGTAATTTCCTATAATCGTGTGCTAATGACATGCTGCCTGAGATTAAGAAAAACTGAAATCTAAAACTTTTAGACAGTTTCAATGATCTGATCTGATCAGTATCTATCCTGAATATTATATCAGATGATTGAACAATAAAAGCTGGCAGAGTTCACAAATTGCACTAATACATGATGGAGCCTGCTTAGGTTTGGTTTAATGTGTTACATGGACCCAGCCATTGTGGTTTTTTTAAAATCATGAATTAGTTTATGTATGAAGCAGCTACCACAACATTCAACAAAGCTTATTAAAAATAAAGATGTTTAGCACATTTAATCTAGTCTAGATGCAGTATGTACAATTTGAGGTCTCAGATTACATTTAGTCCCCACAGTCTTACAAGCAATCCCCAGGTTCTCTTAAAACTGAACCATATTTTTTATTGCAACAATAGTGAAATACATTATTTAAATTTAGCTTTTTTCTTGATCATACCTAGTCCTTTGTCCTGCCATGAAATATCCCTTGGAGTTCAGCCCTGATATGAATGCAGGCATCGCAACTGGCCTGAAAAAATATCACGAGGCCCTAATCTGGATATTTTCTAGTCCTATTTCCAGAGAAGCTGGGATCTGCAGTGCCATGTGCCTATTTTCTTCCATGTTTCCAAGACATTTCAATGTACCTTTTTTTAATTTGAAGGAGGTTCAGGCAGGCATTCTCTAGCAGTCACTAGAGCTCCAACTAAAAGCAAGCCTACTCACATGTATTCCCCTTTCCCCTGGCTTTAACTTGCAGGACAAAAGTTAAGTATAAACATGTACACAAAACACAGATGCCTAGGGATTTGACTGGAGCAGTCTACTTTGCTCTAGTGCTCTAAACCAGTGCTACATATGTATTTCCAAAGGACTTTCCTGGAAATTACAGGCAATCAGCCTTACTGTTTTCCTTAAAGTCATACTTACTTCTTGACAGGTTCATCTCCATATTTCATGAGGAGGCGAATGGCAGTGGGTGCTGTGTAGAACTTGGTCACTTTGTACTTGTCAATGATGTTCCACATACGGCTAACATCTGGGTAAATAGGGAGCCCTTCAAACTGAAAAGAGATAGCAATTAACAGTGCACCATATTGACTGCTAATTTCAGCACTTGGACCTACATTTTACAGCCTATTATGCTCCCAAAGTTCAGGAAATATTGCTTAGCAGAGGAGAACCTCCACAACACTAAAGCACAGAGTGTCAACTTACAAAGCATCCCTGGCCTGCTCTCGAGTTGCCATAAGGAAGGGGGAAGGGAAACTGCTGGAGCAGCATGGCAGCCAAACATAGAAGTACATTCCATCCTTATCTCCTTCAAGACTGTCTCCCAGGGCAACCCACAGCAGTGGGAGGGGAGTGATCTCTACAACCGGCAAAACTTCTCTGTTGGCAAATGTGATTTATGACACACCCTGGGGGGAGGCGGGAAACAGGAGCATGATTGGGGCGTAAATTATGTAGGGTCAGAGTTGGCTTCACTTGGGTAGTGCTGAAATGGAGCTCCTAATAAACAACTGGATTTCTTTTGAAGCTTGGCTCAAAGCTCATGATTTAATTAGGGCATCTGTCAGAATCCTGACACAGAGTGGAGAAGAAATTCCATGAAACTTTCTTTTAAGCCTGTCGAAACAAGGAAAAACTCTTTCTTTTTTTAAAATCAGTATCAGATCAGAATATAGGTCAAAATATGATTTGGGGAGCTATATTTTTCAATTAGCTTAATCACATAAGAGCCAAGGTGGCGCAGTGGTTAAATGCAGCACTGCAGGCTACTGCTAGATCAGCAGGTCAGCGGTTCAAATCTCACCGGCTCAGGGTTGACTCAGCCTTCCATCCTTCCGAGGTGGGTAAAATGAGGACCCAGATTGTTGGGGGCAATATGCTGACTCTCTGTAAACCGCTTAGAGAGGCCTGAAAGGCCTATGAAGCGGTACTGCTATATCCTCTGCTCGTTGCTGTTAAGAAAGTTGTAAGATAGACTGATGCCATTCACTCTACAAAGGAATTAAATCTAGGTATTTCCATACAGTCAGACTTTATCATAGAACTTACTAAGACACTGGTTGCCCCATTTGCCAAGGGTCCATACGTGAGATAGGAATGGCCAGTTATCCACCCAATGTCAGCTGTGCACCAGTAAATATCCTCAGGATGATGATCAAACACATATTTAAAAGTAGCAGCCGTGAAAAGCATGTATCCAGCTATTGTGTGTACAACACCCTGAAATATAGAACACAGAACATCCATGCAAAGGAACATTTTAAATATAAATTAGTTCTCATTGGCCAGGAATTGCAGCATTGCCAATAGCCAGCAGGAAATTAGTCTTAATTTGCTGAATTTATCATATTCCAGTGCACTTCTACAAGGTATGATCAGATTTTTCAGAAAAATATGAAGTGAAGCCATGAAAACCTGGTATTTCTTTCAGATATTAGGGCTATATTGTTAGCAATACTGCATACATGTTCATTTAGAATACTGAGTTTTATATTAGACACCTTGTCTAGTACTTATTTATTTTTAACTGCATATGTGTATTTTATTTTGGTTTTGTATTGTTTTTGCCCAGGGTTTCCAAATAAATAAATAATTATTCTGGAATGTTCCCTTTAGTTTTATCAATCACTCCACAATTAATTCTTGGTGAAAAAGTGCATGTGTCTATAACTTGTGGCCCATACAAGCCTATTTGTACTCTGCCACCTTCCACAGAATTCCACAGTACACAAATCACGCTACTGATTTTCCTCCCCAATACAGTACATTTAGAATTATAGCATCCTATGCAGGTTTTATTGTAAGAAAACCAAGACAAAACCAGCCCCAATATTCAATATACCATTCTTGAGCAATGTAGAAGCTGGAGTCCTTGGTGCTCTCTCAGCTTGGTTGTTTTCTTGCAGACATTTCATTACCAAACTTGTTAACAACATCAGTATAAGAGAGTGAAGTTTGCAAAATCCCCACTCCCTTTTAGGGATTAAGCACTAAAGATCCCACAGTTCAACCTTGAGATAGATTCTCTTCTATTGTGTTAGAACAGTGTTTCCCAAAGTGTGGTACGCGTACCCTCAGGGGTACGGGAAGAGTTTGGTGGGGGTATGCGTTGCACCGGAGTTTGGTGGGGATCACGTGGGAATATCACA